GCCACCCCGAAGAGACGCCCCAACGCCGCAGTATCCCCGACGACAGGAAGATCAGGCGCACGTTCACCCAGACCGACCTGCGCCGAGGAAGACAGACGTCTGGAGGACGGCCGACTGACGCCCGCTGTGTTACCACTGCGGGGAAGCTGACCATGTGTACCACCGATGTCCATACCGACGACTCGGGCTGCGCGGATTCCACCCAAGCGACCCGCGCCCCAGGTATGGTAAACGCCCTCGGGAGATCGACGAGTATCTGCGACGACCCCAGTCCCCCGAGCCTGCGTCCCGCCGAGAGTTCCGATCGCCTTTACCACGACGTCCAGCTTCGCCGATGCACCGACCCCGACGTGAAAGCCTGTCGCCCCTCGCTCCACGCCGGGGAAACTAGGCGCGGCAACCCCTGGAGGTGGAGTTGCCGAAGACGACCGACGCCAAGATCCTCCACGAACGTCGGAGGGCCCCCACTCGAACACTACCGGAGACCGAAACGACGCTCCTGAAACGGTGTCCAACAACCTAAACGTCATCATCGACGGCCACGACGCATCGGCACTGGTGGACACCGGAGCAGACTACTCAGTCTTGAGTGGGAGGCTCTCCCGCCACCTTCGAAAAGTCACGACGCCGTGGGATGGACCGCAGATACGAACCGCCGGAGGACACCTCATCACGCCTGTTGGAAGGTGCACCGCTCACGTCGGAATTCACGGCGAGACGTGTCCTGTGAAATTCGTCATTCTACAAGACTGTTCCAGAGACGTCATTCTCGGCATGGACTTTTTGTGTGAATACGGCGCCGTCATCGACCTTGGAGAAAACAGATTGACGCTGCGGACACCTGTTCCGCCTTCAGAGAAACTCCAAACTGCGTCAGCCGCCGTCCGAGTCGCTGCCGACCACGTGAATCTGCCGCCGCGATCAAGTGTTGCCGTACCCGTCGTGACCGATTAAGCTACCCATAGCGAAGTTCTTCTGGAAGGCAACCTCCAGTTGCTCCTGGGAAGAGGAATAGGCGTCGCACGAGGAGTAGCCGAACTTCAGGATGGCCGCACTGTGGTCCTCGTGACGAACTTCCGGAATGAAACGCAACACCTCACAAAAGGTGCAGCCGTTGGCCACGTCGAGGATCTCCGAAACTCCGCCGAAATTGCCGCCATTACTGATGAATCCTCGCCACCTCAGCAAGACGGTACGTCGCCAGCGCAACTCGACATCGACCCTAAGCTTCCGGACCCGAAATGACGGCAGCTGATTAACCTCCTCGCCGAATACCGTGACTGCTTTGCGACGTCGTCGAAGGTACGCCAAACAGCCGTTGCGAAGCACCGCATCATTACCGAGGACGACGCGCGCCCTGTGCATAGATCACCGTACAGAGTCTCCGTTAAAGAAAGGGAGGTGATCCAGGAGCAAGTTCAAGAGATGCTGAACGACGACATAATCCAGCCATCAAGCAGTCCGTGGGCCTCTCCAGTCGTACTGGTTAAGAAGAAGGACGGAACGCTTCGGTTCTGCATGGACTACCGGCAGCTGAACGCGGTGACGAAGAAAGACGTCTACCCACTCCCCCGAATCGACGACACGTTAGACCGGCTGCGCCACTCTCGATACTTCTCATCGATGGACCTGAAGAGCGGCTACTGGCAGATCGAAGTCGACGAACGGGACCGAGAGAAGACAGCTTTCGTCACGCCAGATGGGCTGTACGAATTCAAGGTGATGCCCTTTGGACTGTGCACGGCTCCAGCAACTTTCCAGCGTGTTATGGACACCGTACTGGCAGGACTGAAGTGGCAGAGCTGTCTGGTCTACCTCGATGACGTCGTTGTGTTTTCCAGCGACTTCGACGAGCACTTGCGACGACTCCGAGCTGTTCTTCAAGCCATACGGACTGCTGGACTCACCCTCAAACCGTCAAAGTGTCGGTTCGCCTATGACGAACTGAAGTTTCTAGGTCACGTGGTTGGCAACGAAGGAGTGCGCCCAGACCCTGAGAAGACTCGCGCCGTCGCGTCATTTCCAGCGCCGACAGACAAAAAGGCCGTGCGAAGATTCCTTGGACTTTGCGCCTACTATCGTCGCTTCGTTCGGGATTTCGCACGGATTTCCGCACCGCTCACAAACCTCACGAAGGACGCCGAGAGGTTCGAATGGGCCGAGGAACAGCAGCAGGCATTCGACGAGCTGAAGAGACGACTCCAGACGCCTCCGGTTCTTGGACATTTCGATCAGGATGCGGACACCGAGATTCACACTGACGCAAGTAACGCAGGACTTGGCGCGGTACTAGTTCAAGTACAAGAAGGCACGGAGCGAGTCATCGCCTACGCAAGTCGGACATTGTCCAAGGCGGAGAGAAATTACTCCACGACTGAGAAAGAATGCCTTGCGGTCGTCTGGGCAGTCACGAAGTTTCGTCCGTACTTGTACGGAAGCCCGTTCCGCGTAGTCACGGACCACCACTCGCTCTGCTGGCTTGCGAACCTCAAGGACCCGTCAGGACGCCTCGCTCGATGGAGCCTCCGGCTACAAGAGTTCAACATGACTGTGGTTTACAAGTCAGGACGCAAGCACAGCGACGCTGACTGCCTGTCCAGGGCCCCTGTCGAAACACCTTCCGGCAGCAGCGACGACGATGATGACGAGTGCTTTCTAGGGGCAGTGAACACCGATGACATGGCACGACGTCAACGAGACGATCCGGAGCTGCGAGCCTTAATCGAGCACCTAGAAGGGCGCGGCGGTACCGTACCCCGTGTTTTCTCACGAGCCGTGTCGACCTTCGCCATTCGACAAGGTGTACTCTACAAAGAGAACTTCGGGGACAACAACTCGCCGTGGCTGCTGGTAATCCCGACCGACCTTCGAGGGGAGATCTTTCAAGCATGTCACGACGACCCGACATCCGGACACCTTGGATACAGCCGGACACTGGCCCGTATTCGTGAAAAGTATTACTGGCCCAAGCTCCCCAAGACCGTCCACCTGTACACACGATCATGCCACGAGTGCCAGCGACGCGAGAAACCTCCGACGAGGCCGGCCGGACTCCTGCAGCCTATTTCTCTTCCAACTGCACCCTTCCAGCAGATCGGAATGGATCTACTTGGTCCTTTTCCGCCTTCGACGTCGGGGAACCGCTGGATCATCGTCGCCACAGAATATCTCACACGGTACGCCGAAACGAAAGCTCTTCCTTCGGGGACTGCTGTGGAAGTTGCCAAGTTTTTCATTGAGTCCATCGTCCTCCGGCACGGCGCTCCAGAAGTTCTGATTACAGATCGCGGATCATCGTTCATGGCACAACTGACCCAAGAAATCCTCCGACTCAGTCATACCAGCCATCGTCGTACAACTGCGTACCACCCGCAGACCAACGGGCTGACGGAGCGACTCAACAAGACAATCGCCGATATGATCTCTATGTACGTCGACGTAGAGCACAAGACGTGGGACGAGGTGCTGCCCTACGTCACGTTCGCCTACAATACGGCGGTTCAAGAGACCACTGGATTCACCCCTTTCCAGCTGGTACATGGTCGGAAGGTAACGACCATGCTGGACGCCATGCTGCCCCATGAGCCATCTGACAACGAGAGCGACGACGCCCAGGCGGTTGCTCAACGCGCCGAAGAAGTTCGCCAGCTCGCCCGACTCCTGATTCAAGACCAGCAACGCGTCGACGCCGGCCGCTACAACCTTCGTCGCAGGGACGTCCACTTCCAGCCCGGAGATAGGGTGTGGGTATGGACGCCCATCCGTCGCCGCGGCCTCAGTGAGAAATTGCTGAAGCGCTACTTTGGGCCCTACAAGATCATCCGACGCCTCGGCGATCTGAACTACGAAGTTCTACCCGACGGAACGCGCCCATCTGCAAGACGTCAGCCGCGACCCGAGGTGGTGCATGTCGTCCGGCTGAAGCCGTATTACGAACGATAGGACTCTCCACTCTCGTCGACGAGCGAACTGTGGACTGTGAACTCCGGCTAGCAATTCTGCTGTCCTTTTGTTTTTTTGTTTTCGGTTTTTGTGCTGCATCGGGACGATGCACTTTTAAAGGGGGGGATAATGCCGCGCGCAGGGCTGAGAAAGCAACGCTCGGTCACGGACCCCCAGAAAGTTCTCGTCTATTCATGTACCGCACGTAACTTCTATCATTTATTCCTGCTTTTGTTTTCTAGAAAGTGCGTGTTCATTCTCGCCCCGATCACGCGACGCTCGAGCCGCTTTCGCCGAATCTTCGAGATAGTGACACACTCTAGATAAGAGGCTGCCCGCTACCTTGTCGAGTCAGTTTCGCTTCAGCGTTCGACTCTGCTGCCACGCCGACTTCGACGCCCGCGATGCTCTATTATTATCTTTTGTACTCTTTTATTTTTGGCACAAGTTCGCCACATTAAACGTTTATTTCTTCCTGTTTATTTGTTATTTTTGGTCACGTGACAGTATTGCAATATGTGTTATGAAAACAGAATAAAAAATAGTCCTTAATGGGTTAACCATAGAGCAATTCGTACAAGAAAAAAGGGGAAGTGCAGCTTATGTAGAATCAGGCTTTCATCATCTGAATTCATGCTTTTCAATGTGTGTTGATAGCAGATGACAACAAGGCGTCCATACAAGCGGACATTTGGTTGCAGCCTGGTATCGATTCAATCTTGAGCCGAATGAGTGTTGCAGTGAGGCATCGAACAGTGCAGCATCATTTCCCATTAAGATTGCTTTCTTCCATGCTGCAGAATAAACGCCAAAGTGTATGGCTCCTTGCACGCGGGCGTGGGGAGCTTCTGAGGTGGCCATGTTTCTTTCTCACTGCAATGATGATGATAGAGCAGAAGTAGCAACACCATAGGTTGATTTCGTGGCCAGCGGGCAGCGTTCGGCTTTGTCATTGCCTTTACGTGCTGCAGATGGGATGGAAGTTGTTGCGCACATGTGCCAACGTTCCGCAGAGTGTAGAGAGCGCAGTCAACATGAGGGTCCTTGTCCGCTTGCAGGAACCTGTTCCCCAGCGGCCATCTGGACCTCGCAAAGGACCTGGTCAAGCTGGTCGAGATTGATCCGCAGACCAGGGTGGTGCAGTTGACGGTGGAAGAAGTGGGACGCATCTGCCAGGTGTACGAACATTTCTGCCTGGAGGACGCCAAGCTGTACGAGTACAACTTCCGCCTGGGCAGGTGGTAGGAATAAATGCCCGGGAGCTGGATGTCTGCCCGTGCTGTACAATCTGCAGTCACCATCAGGTTTGACTCGCTGCTCGTGACTAGTTTATAATATAAATTTTTCACTCGGTGGTACATACAGTGGTGTGATTGCTGCGCCAGTTGCGCCAAACTGTGCCAAGAGGCTAACCCTGCTACATCCTTTTTCGTTTGACTGAAATAGTGATAATGTGTGGCAAGCCTGCACCAAACGCTCGTGTGCATCGCCTTCTGAAACCGAAACTGCCGTAATATTACGAGACATCATCCATCCCCTTGCCGCCTGAAATTCGTAAAAGGGGAGGGGTGGGCTGTGTCTCGATTCAAGCCCCTTTATACTGAAAGTAGCGCCAAGCCCGATTTCGCTCGAGAATCTCTTGCTCTTTCCTCCTCTCCGCGAGTCTTTCTCTGTTTCATTCCGATGCTATAGAGTAAGCTCTCACTTGAACGAACTTCAATGGACCCAAGGAAATAGTTCATTTAACTGAAAGTTCACTAAACTGAATATATTCGCTAAAGTATGGAAGAGCATAGGGCACAGCGTAGATCCAGTCAAAAGTGTGAAATACAATTTATGGGGTCATGTACATCGATACAGTAAACTTTCGTTAATTCGACCTCGATGGGACCTTGAAATTGGGTCGAATTATCCGAATGATGGAATTAAAAAAAATGAAAGCCGTTTACAACTCCCTGTAATGCCGAATTAGAGCGCAGCTCTCGAGGAGGAGGGATGGGTACTAAAGGGGGGGGTCCACGTGACCTTGACAATGACGATCCGATGACGTCATCAGTATGATGACGTCATCAATGATGATGACGATGACGATGCGGATGCCAATGACGTCATCAGTGATGATGACGACGATGCGGATGCCGATGACATCACCATGTTGCATGCAACCTGGACTGCATGCAACAGGTTGCATACAACTTGTTGTACGACAGTTGCATGCAACGAGTTGCATGCAACCCGTTGCACGCAACTTCTGAAGGAATTTGAGGTTCTCCCGAGGTCCTCCCAGAGAAACCCGAGGTCTTCCCGAAGAAACCCGAAATCCTCCCGAGGTCCTCCCGAAGGACCTCGGGTTCCTTCGGGACGACCTCGAGTTCTTTCGGGAGGACCTCGGGTCCCTTAGGAAAAATTTACTCATAATGCATCGCGCAGTTACGCCGACGGCGACGCCGCTCAAGCCGGGAACGGGCGCCTAAGAGCTGCGCTCTAAAAGCACAGAAAAGCGGTTAAAATTAAACTTCCTTTTATTGTCCAAAGTACTCACGGATGATCTGCTGCCGTCTGCACTTAAAACTCGCGCCCAAAAGCATGCTCCGGAGCAGCGTAACTAAACGTCACAACCCAAAAAAACCGCGTTTTAAAAAGACAAAAAAAAGTAAGTTTTACAAGCCTATTTTGGCACCAAACAACAAAACAGTCAAAAAAAAAAAAAAAAAAAAATTTGCGCTTTTTGGCACGCAAGAGGGACCGCACACAATGCTACAGAAAAGCGCTTTGAGAGTGTGCGCTGTCTCCGCGCTTGACAACGTGCTATGTTCTCCGCGCGTCCTCCACGCGAGATGGGTTGCGCTGGCTCGTGTCATTCGCTACGGTCCATCTCAACGGCGTAGAGGAGCAGGCGCTCATTTGCGCACGTTCGGCTTTGCAGCAAAGGGCCCGTGTTTCGCCGTAGGTTGCTGGTTTTTCTGCCGTGGTGCCATGCAATGTGAGCCCATGCGCATTCGCTCGGGACGAATGATCCGATGTGGAGTCTTCCCGAGTTCGAACTATGGAACTTTTCTCCCCATAGAAATGTATGGGCACTTGTCGGGACTTTTGAACACGATCAAATTAGACGAAAGTCGGAATTAACCGAGGTCAAACTAACGAAAGTTTACTGTATATCCAAAGTGCATAACAGTTACGTTGCTGCCTCCTCATTTTGAAAAAAATAATCTGTAATTTTCATTTGCACCGGCACTCTTAAAGCCCATGAAGTAAGAAAGCTGTCCAGAGAGTATGTTTTTTTGCACTCCTTCTGGCACAGCTTGTTGCTGTGACGAAGCCATGCCGCGACGGCATCGTCCTCTGGCTCGAAATATCCCATGCTGAGTCGTTTCCCGTTGGGATTGAATGCAGTTTCTCTTTCAAGCTTTGAATTCTGCTTCACTATCGTTGATAATGTTGACGGTGAAATCCCATATTCCTTCGCAACGTCCACTTGCCTTTGACCGTTATCCAGATGCTGAAGGATTTTGAGCTTGTCTGATAGAGACCACCGCTTCCGTTTCGTCTTACTCATTACGAAAGTGGGCGCACAAACTGCCGTCTTGCCTTTGTTACCCAAAACTAAGATGGCCGAACGGAACCCATTACAAAGAAAACACAGACACACTGCGTGGTTGTCTACCGCACCGCCGCTTTGCCTCGGCGGAGCTGTAAATGCCAGCGTTGATACGCCGCCGCTGCAGAGGCGGTGGAGCAACGGGCATCGGCAACGCCAGCACTGCAGAGCACAAAACTTTGTTGGATTGTAAAAATAATCCTGGGTCCGCAGATCTAATTCGTTGAACTGAAATATTCGCTATTTCGAAATTCATTTAACTGAAACATTTTCAGTTGACAGAAAACCATCGGGGATTTTTTTAAAAGTTTGTTATTCTGAAATAATCGTTAAACTGACGCTTGCTGAAGTGAGAGTTTACTGTATACTGTTTCACCTTATGCTGTACTGCAGGAAAGGTTACGAGTGCAAGCTCCTTGCTCTAGGGTTGGCGGCACAAGCTCTCTTGGATTAAGGCCAGCTGCCAACGCTATGAGCTCGCACTTCTAGCCTTTGCTGTGGTGCAACATAAGGTGAAACGGAGTATAGCGCCTCCTAAGCTGCCCCTCCACCAAGTGTCGTGACAGGTGACTGCTGGCAAACCTTTGCTGGATCGGTGTTTTCTGAGTGATTTCGACTCGCAGCTTTCGTGTTTTCCTTTGGATACCAGTTGCCGGTGTACTGACATCTTGGCTACTGGGTATATATGTCTTTCCATTGCTTCACGTCTGGAGCAGGTGTGAAGCAATGGCATTTTGTCCAGCCTTCGGCTGCACGTCTGCTCGGATTGTTCAGTTGGATATCAATTGCAAACTTCCGCTTTATAAACATTCATACAATAAAATGAACTGTGACACAGATCGTCCTAATTTTATTTCCTCTTCGCCAGAGGGGGGCAGAGCCCAGCGGATAAGCGCATGCACATGTCTGATATCCCTGCAGGGGGCACCTAGGTTAGTAGATGTTTGGTGAGTGGCGTCACCACAGACCCCAAGCCCCGCAAGTCTGTGGTGATGCCACTCACCAAACACCTACATGCAAAGATTGCCCGGCCTCGTACGTTGGCAAAAGTGAAAACTTCGCAGAGAGGCTTACGCGACACAAATATGATGTCCGGAAGAAGGATGTGGAGGCGAGCCCCCTTGCGGAACACGCAGGAGCAGCCGACCACACAGTCGACTTCGAGGGAAGCACCGTGCTAGCCTTGGAGAGGAATTGGCGAAAGCGGCTCTTCGTTGAGTCCTGGTTTATCCAGAACACAAAGGGGAATGTGAATCGTTCTTCGGGCTCCCTGCTCAGCAGCTACGTCTCGGGACTGCGTGACGTGAGCAAAGCCCCCAACATCAGTATATGCATTTAGGCGACGCGTGCCTTTTCTTTTCGTCACTCACCCGTGAACAAGGGACCGAACTGGTCGCGAAACGTCAGGCAAATGTTTATTAAAGTTTTGGTTAGAGTCCCTATTTTTCGCTTCAAAACACCCACTAACCTAGGTGCCCCCTGCGGGGATATCAGAAACGTGCATGCGCTTATCGCCTGGCTGTTCGTGGCTTTCCCGTGTCCGAGTAAAAAGGGCACCCTGGTGGTTGAGCCCAGCCTGGGTTAGGCTTGGACCCTTCAAGGCCCTCCAGGTGGGGCACTACACTACTTCGGCCCCGCCTCTTGTAGACGGGAGTCCTGCTGAGGCTCGGCCAGGATCATTCAGTCAGTCGCTGCTTTTCTCTCCTCCTCTTCTTTCCACTTTCATCTTCTTTGGTGGCAAGGGCTAACCATGGGTGGTGATGGACCCCTGTCTGCCTGGCAGCACTGTTAGAGTAATGTATCCAGCAAAGCTTTTTTTGCTACGGTGCGTTACCTGACCCCTTGTTGGGCTCAGTGATGGTGGTGCACGGGAATCCTTAGCATTTCATTGCCCTTCTACCCTCCCTGCCCCTTTAAACCCCATTCAGTGAGATCCTTTAAAGGGCACTGTCCCGAACAACTGACCATTGTAAAAGATCCTGACTCAGAAACGTTCGCAAAGTTTTTTTGCAGGGTGGAACCAAACCGAAAACTGGAAAAAAACGTTATTTTCGCGCGAACCGGAACGGATATCTTTTTCATACGGTTTTCAGTTCATACACGAAGTCAGGTTGCGTGAAAAGTATATGGCGAAAAACGCAGTAACCTGAAAAGTAAACTAAAAAATTAAAGAAACATTATTTTCGCACAAACCGGAGTTGAAGCAGGCCGAAATGTTTATTTTTTCGTTCCTGGACAAAATTGATCAATTATTTTTGCGCCGTTTCATTCATGCGGGAAGTCAAGAAGCGAAAAAAATAGGTAGCGGAGAGCTCTGTAACATTGCATTATCAGGTTTTCGCATAACCGCCATCTTTATAATTTATGAAGTTTGTCTCGAGAACTCAAATGAAATGAGCACGGCAGCTATCAATTCTCTGGGATTTTTGGTCTTATATATTTCTTTAAAAAGTGCCCACATTTGTCCGAACCTTTTCTAGAGGATCGGAAATGGTTCATCAAAGAAACGTTATCACTAGAACATACCCAATTCGTTTGTCAGCAAAAGTGACCAAATAGTGGCAAAATGGTGAGTTGAACTAGTTGGTTTTTCATCTCAAACTAAATGCAAAAAAGAAAAAAAAAGAAAAACAAGAACAAATAGAGGTAGAGACAACACACCTAGTGTTGTCTATACCTCTATTTGTCCTTGTTTTTTTGTTTTTTTTGGCGTTCAGTCCGAGCTTCTTTTGGTGTTTCTTGTCTTCAATTTTGTAGGGTTGTGTGCAATTTAGTTTAAACATCTTGATTTCATTGTACAACTGATCGGATAAAAAAGCGCCGCTGGAGATTTTAGAACCTGCACTAGTTGCTATACTGTTGCGCATCTAATCTGCTTTTAAAATAACTCGGCGGATTTAATAATTTGTCCGAAATTAAAGTCTAGCACCGAGAAGGGGAGGGGGGATTCAATCAACAGTTACAGCTGCAGAAAACAGCAAAACAGCTTCGATCTCTGGTAGCAGAAACAGCAAGGACCAAAACGTTTTCTCCTCAGAAATGCAAACATCAAGGCACACAGCTCTTCTCAGCATTGCTTGATAAGGAGATGCGGTTTTCAGGGGACGCTAACGTGTTGCAGTTTTGGGAGGAGAGAAGGGAACGCCATCCAGAACTCTGCCCATTTGCGCAAGTAGCCCTGGGAGTGCCTGCGACCCAGGTCAGCGCGCAGCGAGCCTTTTCTGCACTGAAGTTGATTCGATCGTCTCATAGGTGCCGTCTTTCCCCGGATATCCGTGACGACATCCTGCTTCGTCAATCAGCTGCCTGACATTGAACCACGCTTTCACCCACGTCCCGAGGTGCCCCAGCACTAGCTCGTTTGTTCCACAAAGTAATGTGACCCTTTCCTTTTTATATGTAACACTTTTATAAAAAATGCATAGTTTATCTTTTGCTGCCGTCAATTGTTTTTGCAGCATATGAGTATGAACTGATTTGAATCTTTCTTTTTGCACTCCGGAGTTAACCAGAGCTGAAACGTTTTCCCTGAACCGGTATGAAAACCAGAACGAAGAGCATTTTGGTTCGACACCCTCGTTTTTTGTAATCGAAGTGTCTAGGGCAGGGTGGTGAAGCTGACCCGGCCTAAGAGCCGCAAACGAAACTACGAAACTTCTAAGAGCCGCAGGGGGGGGGGGGGGGGGGGGCAGGGCGGGGGAAAATTTAAATTTTGTTCAGAGTCTGGCTGTACGTATGAGTGCACAAGGCTGTACGAGAGTACAGCCTTGTGCACTCATAAGTAATAAAGTAGCCAAACCGCGAGCCGTACCTTATTCTGCCTGAAATCCCTTCTTTTTTTTACTGGGGAAACGTGCAAAGGGGCGGGGGGGGGGGGGCAGTCCCTTACGAGGGATCCGCGAGCCGCACTTGGACCAGCAAAGAGTGGCATGCGGCTCGCGAGCTGCGATTAGGCCACCCCTGGTCTAGCGTTGCATCCGACGTAACCCAAGTTACGTCCAAATCTTCGCCTTCCCTAGGTTCACGGGGGAGAGAGAGAGAGGAGGGCGGGGGGGAGGGTTAGGTATCGTATTTACTCGATTCTAAGCCGGCATCGATTCTAGGCCAACCCAACAAAAACGGCAGGGCCGAAAAATAAAAAAAAATTCTCGATTCTAGGTTGACCAAAAAGTATAGGAAAAACGCCATACCTTAAACACGGAACGGAATTTATCTGCAATGTACAGCACTATTTCGGTCACGAATCCGACGGTATGCTCACGGTTAATGTCCGCATTTTTCCTGATCATTCGTCGTCCTCACTGGTATCTTTGTCACTGTCCACTTCCCACAACGCGTGGTCATCCGTACCGTCCAGGGCATTCGAGATGCAACACTTTCGGACCGACTTTACTACCAGTTCCGCCGGGATGTCATCCCATGCGGCCGCGATCCAGCTCGTGGTGCCTTCCCTTCCGTGGTCCTGAGAACGCCATTCTTGTTGCCGCACATGCAAAGAGCTGACCACGCTGCTTTCTCCAGCAATGCACATTTTTTTCGTCCACGCCGAAGTCACTCTGGGCTTGCAGGTTGGACGAGTGTTCAGCAGCCAAGAAAACTTTCCTCTTAAAAGCCGCAGAGTAGTGGCATCGACTGGTCGATGCCATAGCGTCGAGTAGAGACGAACGTTTTGTGTGTTCCGTGGTACACAGCTTATCTTTCCGAAGCGATGTAGACAAGATGGTGTCCCGCGGTCATAGCGGAGCCGGATCCTCGTATCTAGACCGACCCCCGAGCTTCGGATTTAATTTTTTTGGAAAAACTATCAGGCCTAGATTTGAGTAAATACGCTATATGCGTTTTAGTGCTTCGTCCGGACGTAGCGCTAGCCACAGCGTTTTGTAATTCACTCTGAAAATGACTTGAAACCCGGAGCAAAAATGGCACCGTTAAACCGTTAAACCAAACACACATTAAACATTGTGCGAAATGTGCTCTCAGAGGATGACCTGCTTGACAGTAGTAAGGAGAAAATTCTCGAGGGCCTTGGACATCGAACGTAGTCGTGGTAAAGCGCATTATGTTTCGACGCGATGGAATGGAAGCACCAAGCACCTAATCGTCACCTTCCAGCGACACACTCTCCCAGCAACCGTCAATACAGGATATTTAAACTGCCGTGTTTGGCCGTATGTGTTAAACTCTCAATGGCGTTTTTGGTGCCAGCTGTTTGGCCATGGTTCGACGAGTTGTCGCGGCAAAGACACGTGCTCCAAGTGCGGGAGCTTGGAGGACGTTGCAGACGTTTGCGGAAGAGCCGCAAAATGCCCTAACTGTAGTGGCCTGCACCCGGCGTACTCTCGTGAGTGCCCCCTCTAGAAACAAGAGGAGATCCTTTCTTAGAAAGTGAAAGGGAACAACTCTTGTCCCCAGGGCCAGGAAGCGTTTCTTCTTTCTTGCAAGAGGTGGTTTCCTCGAGGTGGTGCGCAGGAGTCCTGCACCAACCTTGGAGTCCCGTGCCACCCAGGTCTTACCTGAAGACCCGGGGGTCCAGGGCCCAGCCCCCAACTCCCAAGAAGCCAGGGGTGCCAGGGGGTCTCCCATCCCATGAGAATGACTTTTCTGCCCCTCCCACTGCCCAGGAGAGGCCTCCACTTGGTGTGCCTGGCCTGGTCCTCCGGTCTCCTACCAGAAGGAGGAAGCGAATTTCTTGCTCTACCCTATGGAGGAGACACCCATGCAGCAGCACGCTCCTCATGTCGCTCCTGGTCTTTCCTCTCGGGAGGAAAAGATGCAAGTGGCTGCCCCGCCACCCACCCCACCTATTCCTCCAGACTCGTCCGAATCGACAATCGAAGCA